TTATAAGTAATGCTATCTTAAACACACCCTTTGTAAGACAACCTATAATCTTTCTTATCAAATTTTTTATAAGACAAAAACCGTCATCCTTTTTGTCAAATAAAAATCAAAATAGAAAATGAAAGTTATATGTATATGAAAATGTTTCTTTACACACAAACTACACAACAATTTATTTCAAAATCAGAGTTATAAAACTTCTAATCATTTAATATGAAGACAGAAGTTAAAGCTATATGACTTATGATCATCACATAAAAAATTAAAGTTATATGACTTCTAACCATAAGATAAAAAACTAAATACATATAGTTTTTAGTCATTTGATTTGCTCCCCAAAAAAATTATGCTCTTCCGGTCCCTAATGTAAGACTCATTTAACTAATTTGATTAGATTAAGAAAGTTAGATAAGTTAGTTAATTATAAGAAAGGTGACACATTTTTTCTAAAACACCATAATCATCTTTCTTAATACTCCCTCTTCCTCTTTTACTTGATTATGGTTGAGGGAGTATTCATAGGGGTAATTTAGAAAAAAATTGATAAATATGAGAAAGGGTTCTTATATTTAGGACCAAAACCAACTCAAGAATTGGGTTCTATATTAAGGACCGGAGGAGTACGTATTCAATACATTTCTAGTCATAAATTGTTATCAAATAGAGAAAATTAATTTGGAACTCCTTAAAGTTTTACTCAGCTTTAAATCAACTCCTTGAAGCCTTTTTTTTTTCCCCTTTTTATTACCTTCTTTAGGTTTACACTGTAAGACTAAGAACCATGATTCCCTAATAGCTAAAACTGTTAAATTAAAATAAACAAAAGGCTGAATCATCATTTTCTTTGACTTCCTCTGACCATAACCCGCAAGGTTTATCTCTCGGCATTTTTACTAAAGTACTCCTCCGGTCCTAATTATAAGACCCAATTGACTTATTTGAGGAGATTAAGGAAGTAAGTTAAGTTGGTTATTTATAATAAATAAGTGTTGTCATTCCTAAAATATCCTTGCTAATTAAGTATATTGGCTAAAACTATCATTATTAGAAGGATTATCTTGGAAAAAAATACATAAATATAAGAGACAAAATGGATTGAGTCTTATAATTAGGACCAAATAAAAAGTCAAATTGGGTCTTATAATAAGGACCGGAGGAGTACTGTAAATAGGAAAAATATTTACCCAAATACTACATTGTGAGAATTATTTACTGAGATGCTGCATTTTAATAAACTCGATCACGCTCTGCTGAAGTTTCACTCTGGCACTTTCATTTTTTTAAAACAAAAGGGAGAACTCTTCAGGCTGTGGACGAGTTCACTTTTGTCCTTTTTCATCTGGAGAGAAAATTACAAATGAATACCCTATTTTATCAAGCAGCCGCACCTTCCTTCCGAAGTTTGGAGAAAATTATAATTAATAACCCATCTCTTATCCCCTTCCCTCTTCCTTTGTTCCAGACCTCCTTTCAAATAGGAAAGATATGAGTAAATTTTGTAAAAAATTACTTTTTATCTTAATACTTAAATTTAAGAAAAATAAATAAATTAGATTCATACAAAATGTTTACAGATCTTCACTAATATATCCAAATTACACATATTTAATTATAAAATATGCACTTATTAATTTTCATCTTTATCATAATTACTTAACAATATTTAAATAAGGGTATTATTGAGGAACAAATTTAATGGAAAAAATCCCAATTAAATCTATTTAAAATACTAAAATCCCAATAAGTAGTGATATATATCAAGGTTTTGAAAGCCAGACCGGTCCAACCGTCATCCGTTCTCGTCACTGGCTGGTTTTACAAGCTTGGACCGTCTGAAAGATTGAGCTGTTTTGATCCGCTTTGAACTGGCATTTAAGCCGGAAGCCGGAGTCAAGTCGGAATCCAGAACAGTTTTAAGAGAACCAAACGGATCTGAAATGTTCCACTCACCCCTCCCAATCCACAATCAGAGAAGGAAGAACCATGAAAAAAAAGGGGGGGAGAGAGAACAGTGAAGACGAAGGACGAAAGTAAAGATCAATGCAAAATAAAACATACCAGCAACATTTTCTTTCACCTTTTTAGTTTTTTTCCTCCATAATCGCAAGTGCCTGCAGCTCTCATTCATGGCATTTGAAAGAAAAAAGTCGCCAAGTTTCACTTTGATAATGAGAGAAAAAGCAAAGCTGCAGAGGAAAAAGTACTACAGCAAAGTTTCTGATTTGAAACGGAGAAGGTAAATTTTAAATTTATTTTAACCTACTGATACATGAAGGTTGACAAGACAAGACTTGTAATATTTTTAAATTAGAAAATTATTTATATATATACACAAATGTTTTTTCGTTTTTCATTTCTTATTTGTATATTGTTAATTTCATTGTCATATAAAATTTGTTTATATATTTTCATTCGATAATTGTCTATATATTTTTATATAAAATGATGGTTTGTCAGAATATGAAATGATTAATATAAAGCTAAATGTATATGTATAATTACACTATTCAATTTTCTTAAAATTTTTTAATAATTTGATATTTTATTTTTTGCATATATATTATTATAGGTATATAATATTATTTTTAATATAATTATTATATTACTGGTCTAACCGAACGGTCTGACCGATCCGACTGTTTGAACCATGACCCGCTAGCATTTCCGACTTGACGTCCAGTCCGGCTTTTAAAACATTGATATATATACTAAATATTTATCTAATAAGTGTATATTTTATAATTAAATATGTGTAATTTGGATATATTAGTGAAGATCTATAAACATTTTGTATGAATCTAATTTATTTATTTTTCTTAAATTTAAGTATTAAGATAAAAAGTAATTTTTTACAAAATTTACTCATATCTTTCCTATTTGAAAGGAGGTCTAGAACAAAAGAAGAGGGAAGGAATAGATTTAGAGGGATAAGAGGTGGGGTATTAATTATAATTTTCTCCAAACTTCAGAAGGAAGGGGCGGCAGCTTGATAAAATAGGGTCTTCAGTTGTAATTTCCTCTCCAAATGAAAAAGGAAAAAGGTGAACTCGTTCGCAGCCTGAACGAGTTCTCCCTTTTGTTTTAAAAAAATATAAGCGTCGGAGTGAAACTTCATTAGAGCGTGATCGAGTTTATTAAAATGCAGCATCTCAGTAAATAATTCTCACAATGTAGTATTTGGGTAAATATTTTTCCTGTTTACAGTATTTTAGTAAAATGCGTTATCTCTCCCTTCCCCCCATTATATGCCTCATGGTTCCATCGCCCACGTGTATACCGTCAGAGCTCGACTTCTTTGACTACACAACTGCTATTATTACTTGAACCATCCTAAATCGGGTCGCCTTCATATGTGGGCCTGGCAATGTAAGATTCCATGACTGGTGCAGCAACTCTGCTTCCACAACGGAGGCAACCATGATCGATAATGAAGTGAACGATAGTTTGGAGGATTCCAAGGGACTTTTACTACTGGTGATCCATGATCGATAAGTTATATGTATTTCTTATGGTGGAGATATAGTTGGCCGGCAAGGTGAGGCGACGTTTAATGGTGGGGAAGTAGATGATGTTGAGGAATGAGAAAAGGAGAGAGAAAGCTTAGGGGTTAAGGTGGAAGGAGGTCGAAGAAGAAGATGGTCATTCAAACTTTTAACAGAATTTTCAACGGTGTTAATTTTAATTTAACATTTCTATGTTTCAGCGAGTAACGGATTTAACAGTGAAAACTTGAAAGATTCAATAAAAATGACAAAAAATAGGGATTTGATTTAAAACTATATAAAACTATAAGTACTTCCAAATTAGTTTTTTTTATTAAATATATATAAAAGAATAGATCTTGAATATTTAAACAATCAAGCATGAAGTATAAAATATCATACGTTTAGATAAGAACCTTCAAGTAATTATACATAACAAACTTTTAGTGTCATTGTCTCAGAAATTTGGTAAAAACTGATAATGTGTTATAAAAATAAAAAATGATGGAGAAAAGAATGAAAGAACAAGAACTGGAAATAAATTAGAATAGATCTTGAATATAACCATAACAATTAGAATTATATAAGTTGTGTAGGAAATAGATTTGACATATTTGACTTGTTTATAGATTCGTTTCCGTTTTATTTATTAGCTTTGGCGCCTGTGAAAAAACATATATAATCCTAATTAACAAGACAACTTAAATTTGACACATTTGTACATGTGAAAAAATATATAGTATTTGGCGTGTTTTAGCTAAAAATTTATAGGTATTTTTGCATGTCCCTTTTTTTTTTTTTTTGAAATTAGAGGTATTTTGGTATTTTTTATAACATTAGCATGGATCTCACTGTAAAAAGTAACAATGGATAGTCTTATTTAATGTCGGTGTCATTTTTTCTCTAATTTTGCAAATTATGGGTACTTTTACACCTCCAAAAAGATTATGGTGGTGGATGCACTTTGGGTAAAAAAAATCCTCTATCCATCTTATCTCTCATATTTATTCATTTTTTTCAAGATAATCTTATAGTAGTTATATATGTTAAAAATTTCATAAAATAATAGTTCTAGCTAATACATATGATCAGTAAGAATATTTTAAAAAGACAATACATATTTATTACAAATAACTAACAATAACTCTTATTCTAAGTACAGGAAGCAGCAAGTATTTTTTTTCACCTTCATCCTAGAGTTTAAATCAACAATTTCCGTAACAAGTATATGATTTGACCCAGTCATGGTTTCATTTCCGAACTCAATGGCCTTGAAGCAAGGAACAAAAAAGTGACAAAAATAGTCATTTCGAAATGTCTCTGTGAAACCAGAAGGGTCTTCTATCTGATTCTTCTGGGGTCAAGGTTTGAATCAAGAAGATTCGTCGTGATATAATGATGATTCTGGATTAGCGAGGGCTACTAGAATACGCAAAACCTGCATGATTCCAAATGATGATACAGAAGTGTAAGAATTTGGATGCGGCCTTGGTGGAATAAAAAATCTAGGGTTGGAAAATGAGTTGCTTTCCGTGTTGTGCAACGAAAGAAAGGACCAACCGGAAGACATTGCAGAAGAGCAGCAAGGAGTACCATGCTTCAAAATCTATAGCCTCATTTGCCAACATTTCTTTTAAAAGTGGTTAGTTTCCTCTTCATTTATGCAAATGGTGTAGCGGTTCTGTTTCTTTTTTTTTTTTTTAATTACCAAAAACATGAGCTAGATCGGTGGTTTCCCTTCCGTGCACAAAAAATTCTTTAGCACATTTTGTACAAGCTAAGGATTCAACGGCTAAGCTGACGGGCGAAGAAAAGATAAGAAAGAGAAAGAAAGAAATGATTGATGTGAAGATGACGCAAGTCCCTTAATCAAATTGTGTTCCATCATGAATGCATATTTGTTATTAATATTATATGTTTAATTTATTGATATATTGTTTGATACAATTTTATTGATATACAGCCAACATAATGAGGGAGAAATTAGATAATCATACCCATCATTATAATCAATCAACTACAATCCAAATGTCCACTCTCTTGAACTCTGTTATTTTCATCGGAAATTAGCAATGTAGTCTGGAATATTATTCTACTTCTCCCAATATGAAGGCCTGGAAATGAAATTATATATGCGTTGTGTTGGTAAGATTTCATTAAGCTTCTCGTACAAGTCACTTCTTGTTTGTGAAGGCTGCTCCATGCAGTATTAATTTAAGTTCTCTAATGATGTGCATTTCAACGGTACAGATGCGGCAAAATGCTGACGTTAAAGCATGTTGCTTATCTATGCTATTAGTTCTGCGGTTACATAATATAGGGTTCCGATTAATAAGGTTCGATATCCATGATGTTCTTTGTCAGAACTAAGGGATTTCTAAGATGTGTGAACAAATAAAGCATGAGCATTGATAATCACTAATGTGTCGCCACCTTATATTCATATTCATATTTAATTTGAACATTCTGCAGACGATTTGCATCATATTAATCCTTGAATATGTTCATTTGTTTTATATTATTCAGTACATCAGCAAAAAGAATAAACTAGATATGTCTTCCTTTCTCCCATTCCATGAAAGAATAGTAACGAGGTCGTTTTTGGTATATGATGATACATAGAATTCGAGGTGGCTCCCTTCACTAGTCAAAACTAAAAAAAGATGCCATTTTAATTGATAAACCTCCTTACTTATACTTCAATTAATGTTTTCTTTTGTTGTTAATCTTTATCCTTTTCTTTCCTTCGTTTTTTTTTTTTTTGGTGCCATAAGTTAGTGGGTTAGGGTCTTTGGGAACATTTACCAAAACTCACTATTTTTTAAACTTCCACAGATGCCAGCAGGCAAAGATACATAACGGAAGAAATTAAGAAGATTGGAAAAGGAAATATTACTGCTAAAATCTTCAGCTATCGAGAGCTATGCGTTGCAACTCAGAATTTTCATCAAGATAACCTAGTTGGCGAAGGAGGCTTTGGCAGGGTATACAAGGGATATCTGGAAAGCACGAATCAAGTATAACTATGCTATACTCTCTAAGGCTTTGGCTGATCATATATTAAGGATGAGATCCGTTTGAAGTTGTAAATAGTGTTTTTGACTCGTAGGTTGTTGCGGTGAAGCAACTTGATAGGAATGGATTTCAAGGAAACAGAGAATTTCTCGTCGAGGTTTTGCTTTTAAGTCTCTTGGACCACCCCAACCTCGTCCATTTGGTAGGTTATTGTGCTGATGGTGATCAAAGAATTTTAGTCTACGAATACATGGTCAATGGTTCTTTAGAAGATCACCTCCTTGGTAAGTAAAATGAACTTTTCACATTCTCTTTGCATAGTTAAGACAGTTTAGCAATGCATAAAAGAAATGCAACAATTTTGTTAGCTTCAACTATACATGTTTTAATGTAATATTATATGAAGTTTGAGGAATAAGTCCTCCTGGCAAAATAATAATAATAATAATAATAATAATAATAATAATAATAATAAATAATAATAATAAACGGTGTGTTAGCAATGGGGGTAAATTTATTGCCACATTAATTGCATTGTCTAAAGTGGCAAAGAAATTAATACTTGTCAGATAAGAACAGTGAGAGGATATTTTAATTTTTCATTTAAAAAACCACTCAATCTGTTTGCCCCGTCACTCATATACATTCGTGAGAAATATTTTACAGAGATATGATAATTCTTGTTTGGTCATATAATGGTTTCCTGACCCGGCCCGAAGTCACGTAAGCTATTCTGGAAAAGTTGCCTTGAAGCTTTAAGGGGGAGTTTGTTTCAAATTAGAAGAAATGATTTGAGCTGGGGAGTAAGGAAGAGTTGCAGAGAAAATGTTGAGATAAATATGAGGATGTGTGGAAAATAATCAATTTTTAGCTGATTTTGATAAGCTAATCCAATTAACTTTAGCTGATTTTGATAAGCTAATCCAATTAACTTATCAAAATAAGCCTCAAGTCCATTTTACTAACTCAATTATGATATACATACATATATATATTATTTTAGGCACATTGGCTCTAAATCTTCAATGAAAAAATAATCATGCATGTGTGTGGCCTCCCGCTGTAGATATAGATATGTAATTTTTAACAGGCTAGACCGGCTTTGGGTTAAAGCTTTAATAGATTTTCACGTGGGTGTTTGAGCACACGTTTACCCTTGCCTTAAAACCATCATTAGAAGGTATATTCCGAGCTTGATCTATGTTAACTTGCATGCAATCTTGTTCGCCATCGACTTCTTTCTGTGGATCTGACAAATTTCCAAATTAATTTGTTCCCCTATTAGTCACACTTTAATTTTCTTATATTTTGTTTATTAGAAATTCAATTCTTGGAGTTAATACTCGGATCTTTAAGCTTTGAGCCATGTTGATAAACTGAAAGTAGGGATGAAAATAAGTTAGACTAGATTAGGTTTTAGTTAAGTAGGCCTAAGCTTGCAATAAATATTTGAAGCCTAGCTTGTATATAGGTTTTTTTTTTTTTAATGCTTGAGCTTGGGCCTTCAAAAGGCCTGACAAGGCTTGAAACCTGTTTAAAAATCTACTTAAAATGTAGGCTTTAAAATAGATTTAAAAATTTATGTCTCCAAATTCATATATAACCCAATCTATTTAATTATGTCTTAAAAGTTTATAATCCATTCTCACTTGTAATATAAGAGTCTAGCAAGAAAAACCAAAAAAAAATGCATAGTGACAACAGTTGTCGGATCAAATAGAAATAAGAAAAACCAATCATCTATTAACTAAATAGATATATTTTATAAAATTAACCAAGCACAACTAGCATACTTCATTTGGTTTTCCTACATAAATTGGGCAAACTTTTCCTACTAAAATTATAATATTTCATTTAGGTATCACCGAAATAGACTTACAATAATTGTTATGCTTTAGCAAACAACAAAAATTAGGAGAGAGGAATTGAGCTACCATTACTATATTGAACGATCAAAAAAGAAAGTGGTAAAGGTGAATGAGTGATGAATGAAAAGGGACTGATCTTATATAGAAATGTTATGATGTGAAACTCAAGATCAAACTAAAGTTTATGATTTTATAAATAATTTATAAAATTGATTTATATTATATAATATATAATAACACAAATTTAATTAAAAAAACACGAAATAGGCCAAGTCTATAGGCTTATAAGCTGGGCCATAGGCCCCTATCAAGGACCTAGCCTATTTTCACCCTTAGCCAAAAGGAAAAAAATGATAAGGTAACAAAAAAACCAACAATGATAAATGATATATAATTTAGGAAGTGAGTAAACTAGCAAATTATATAGTTATTAGTGCGCATCTAAACTCACTGGGTCTTGAAGGTTTTTTAAAAAAAGGTCTTAAGCCTAAAACTCATAAATTGGACATAATCAATACACACACACACACACACACACACATATATATATATAATTTGTCACAAATTACACTATTCTCAAGTTATAAGTAACAAAAAAATCCATTGCTCATTCATCAACTTCATGAAATAAATGATCGAGAAAATATATTTTATGAAATCTTGTTTAGTAATTTGCATCAAGAAAATTATTTGACCCACGAAAAAATTGCCAGAATTAACTGAAGATAAAAAGCCGTTGGACTGGACTACCAGAATGAAAATTGCTCAGGGTGCGGCTGAAGGACTTGAATATTTACACGAGGTAGCAGACCCACCAGTGATATACAGAGATTTCAAGCCATCAAATATACTATTGGATGAAGATTTTAATCCAAAACTTTCTGATTTTGGGCTAGCAAAACTTGGTCCAACTGGCGAACACTCCCATGTGTCCACAAGAGTGATGGGAACTTATGGCTACTGTGCTCCTGAGTACGCGCTTACTGGGCAGTTGAGTACAAAATCAGACGTATATAGTTTTGGGGTTGTCTTCTTAGAAATGATATCCGGAAGAAGAGTGATTGATCATTCAAGGCCAACTGAAGAGCAAAATTTAGTCCTTTGGGTATTTCTTCAAACCTTATTGAATGTTAAACATCATCACATTATCTAGCCCATAATAGAGTATATTTGTTATTCAGTGATCATAAAGTTATAATTAATTAGCATTACTTTATCAGCATTTCATATGTTACTAGCTTTAATCCTTAATATAAGAGCTAGATGATTAGGTTGCAAGTATTAAGAAAATTAGTTAAGTTAATTATTTATAAGAAATAGGTGGTGTCCTTTCAAAAATACCATCATTAATCATGTGCAATAGAGTGAAAATGTTTTAGTATATCCATTTATTTTGGGGACTACCCTATGAAAAAATAAATAAATATAAGAAACAAAGAAAATTGTGATCTTATGTTTATAACCAAATTAAATTTTCAACTAATTCTTATATATATTTAGCACCAGATGCAGTACAATTTAAAAAAATACTCATCTGGTCCTAAATATAAGACTCTTTTTGTAGTGCAATTTACACTACAAAAAAGATTTTATATTTAGGAGTGGAGGGAGTATATATCTATTTGAATTTGATAAAGATATCTAGAATTATTTTAAGTGCAGCAAAAACTTTACGGAAAAAAGCCTTTATCATCTCATTGTGCTGTGTGTTTTTTCAATATCCTCTTTCTTTGTTCTTTAATCTAGTTATTCTAGTTTAGTGATCTCAGGCTAAAAAAGTTAATCTTTTTTTTTTTTTATCCTGCCATATCTCTGCGTCGAAAGTGTGTAATAACATGCAAGGAGAGGAGGAGTTTGATATTGAGACCTAGCTCTGTTTGTTGTTTTTTGTACTGGACTTTGATGAATACAGTTTACATTAAAAAAAAAAATTGTGTAATAACATGTCGACATTTGGCACATGAAGACCCTTTAAATGTGCACAAATTAAATTTTCGAGGCTGATCATGTTTAACGGTCAACGGGCATCAAAAGAAGAAAACAATCTGCTTTCCAGAAGATATTAAAAACAAATAAATACATAGTCTGTTGTATTTTTATTATCTTATTGAAATTTCTTTGCTATATTATGTTTACTGTTCAACATGCAACAAACTTTAAGAATCAACCAAAAAAAATTGAGGGTCTGTGGTTGGTGTTGCAATCTTCTTTTTCAGGCGCAACCGCTATTGAAAGACAAAAGAAAGTTCACATTAATTGCCGATCCCTTACTAAAAGATGATTACCCCATGAAGGGGTTGTACCAGGCGCTAGCAGTTGCAGCGATGTGTCTCCAGGAGGAAGCTTCTACTCGGCCTTTGATTAGCGACGTAGTCTCTGCAATGGAGTTCCTCGCTGAGAAGAATGTGAAAGGTGATGATGAAGAAAGTGATGAACATATTTTTTACTCTTCTACTGAGGATGACGACGGGGACTGTAGTACTGAAGGCTATGAATCTGATAGCATTCTTGATCGGAAGAAACAAGGTTACTAAATTAATACACATATACTACCTTCGGTCCTAATTACTAAATTAATACATGTAACTGCCTTCTGTCCTAATTAGAAGCAGAGGTAGTATATATATAATAGTTGCAAGTGAAGATTTTTTTCAACCAATCTGTTAATTTTCTTCATATTGCAGCTCACCGTTCTTGCAACTGACGAAACCTTTTCCCAGCCGCTAGCATAATGAGGATGAAATTTTGGAAATGCTGATTTAAGTAATCAGTATATCCTATATCTTCAAAAGAACTTTGTGAAGAAATCTCGCCAAAATGTAACATAAACTTTGCCTCATTTTACTAACATTTCTGGGACTTTCCCCCCAAAACTTATATGATATTATTAAAAATAAATTAAATTTTATAGATTTCTTTTTCAGTTTTAAAACTCAAAAAATCTTCTGGAAATAAAAATAAATTTCATACGGTTCTTTTGAATTGTGTTGAAATTATATAACTTATCCTTCAATTATTAAGGGAGGTTTGTGTGTATTTTGAAAATAAAAAAAATCCATAATTTGAACAAATTCAGAAAATAAACGCAACGCTTACGTAATTCTCTTATGATAGTTGAAAATAATTTTTTTTGGGCCTGAATGATAGTTGAAAATAAAACAATGAGCAAAAGAAGGTTATCCTAAAAGAACCTTGGATTTGCAAAAGCCCAAGATGGTGTGCTCACTTTTCATAATTCCATTTAGGCACTCTTTCGGTTTTCAATATAAGACTTATTTAACTAATTTAATTATATTAAAAAAGTTAAGTAAGTTAGTTAATTATAAAAAATATGAAAGATTTTTCTTAAAATACTATAATCATCTTTCTTTAATATTATTCCTCCCTCACTTACTTGATTATGGTTGAGAGAGTATTCAAGGGATAATTTAGGAAAAATTGACAAATATGAGAAATAGGTCTTATATTTATAATTAAAATTAACTCAACAATTAGGTCATATATTAAGAATCAAAGGAGTATCAAATATTAAAAGGTTAAAGTGTATTTTTAGTTTTTTAACTTTGTACAAAGTTTCAGTTAGATCTCTTAATTTTAAAAAGTATATTTTTAGTCATTTAATCCTAAAATTATTGGTCTTAAATGATATTTTTTATAACAATCATGATTTTTTTGGAAATTAAATTAATATATTAGCATTTGAGAATATTTTATCAACATTTCAAGCCTCAATCATTTTTTGTTAATAATTTTAGGGTCAAAAAACTAAAAATCTATTTTTTAAATATAAGGGACCAAATTGAAATCCTTCATAAAGTTGAGGGATTAGATATGGAAAATTTAGTGTTTTAATAATTTATATATATAAAAAGTAATTTTGAAAAAAAACCATTCAAACATTTTCAATTTTATTAATATCATTTTTCCACTAAATGTATTTTACTTGAATTCTATTCTTTATAATCAGTTTTTAAGCCTAATAATTTTAGTGTTAAAGGACTAAATGTATACTTTTCAAAATTAAAAGACTAAATTAAAACTTTGTGTAAAGTTATAGAACCGCATGTATACTTTAATCTTATTAAAAAGAATGTGATAAATATATAAAATACAAATTTCAATTCATATTTTTACTTTTATATAAAGAAATATATATATATTTATATGTAAGATTAAATATCAAGGAATCAAAAACCAGATTAAATACTGAACCAATTAACATATTCGGTCAATGGTCAATTGTGAGACTGAAATTGGACCCGCTATATTAAAATATTACTATTTAATTGATAATAACAAAATAGAACAACATTCACAAATAATAAGAGTTGGAAAAAGAGCACAGAAGCATGACTAAGTAAATTGAATAAAAAAAAGTATATATGTATATTTCTAGGGAAAACTAATCTCCCAGTCCTTATAGTTCTACTCAATTTTTAATTAAGTTCCTGTAGTTTCTTTTTGGGAAAAGTAATCTGCAGGTCCTTATATTTTCATTCAGTTTTTAATCAGGTCCCTCTAAATTTTTTATTTTTTATTAGATCCTTAAAGTTATCTCTGTTATAAGTGTTAATCCTTCCAGGGAGATTTCGCCTTGTCCTTGGATTGTAGGTGAGCCCAAACCCTTTCCAAAAATTTGCGTATCCAAAAAAAAAAAGTGTTAATCCTTCCATCAAGAGCTGTTAAAAGACGGCCACAAACAACGTTAAGACATGGTGAGTTGCCTGAATAACATCCAGGTGTTAAAGAAGGATTGGACAAGTATTATCCTTTGACCCAAAAGAACTCTTGCGGCCAATGGGTCTTTCCCCTCTGTAAGCGCGGGGTCAAGGTATGATTCCGTATGAAATTGTAAACAATGAAGTTTTTTCTCTCCTCCTGCATATATAATCCTCTCAGGCCTAATGGATTCTTTTGCCTCACCCTTCCAAGTACTTCCACTTCCACTGTAAATTCCATCACTGTCACTTCGGTCGTCATCTTCCGTTGCTTTATTGCTATCTAAAATCCTGTACAATTCATACATACATATATATCTATATATTTATATATATATATATATATGAATGTTTAACCATTGAATATGGCTTAGTTATAGAAATCAGAATGAAAGATGCAAGATATATGAATATTATATATACTTATTCGATCCCCATCAACACTTCCAAAGCCACCCTATTCTTTGGTTTTTGAGAAGAATTTTCAGAGCACGGCAATCATTATCTCCAAAGCACAAAAACTTAAACTGCAAAATTCTTTTTCGAGTGTTGAGATGGCTTTGAGCATATTTTGAGCATTATCACCCAAAATCGTCGTTCACTGCAGTCATAAGATGGGAGAAGCTTCGAAAGTGATACTGCATTGACATCCATAGGCGCGTAACTTGTTTGTTGTTTGGTTCAACTCCTCTTGGGTGGGATGGATTAGATGGAGATAGGCCTCTCTCTTGTCAAGCCGGAGAATGATCCTAATGATAGCTCCAATGACTTTGACGATGATAAGGATAATGATATATTCAGAGAGCCAAAAACCCTAACAACAATGGTAGAAAGGAGAAATTTTGCTTCATACTAAAGTCACTTAAAGCAGAAATGACAGTCACATCAAAAACCCCAAGTGCTGGAAGCTAAAGGAATGGGGACCATCAGAAGATTGCTACGAACATTCATCAGATATGGTCGCCGTCATGGCCTCACACTTCAACGGCCGTTACAAGGCGCCTTGTGTGTTTTAACGGCTTTTAGACGGAGGGATTAATTCTTGTAACAAAAATAAGTTTAAGGATCTAATAAATAAAAAAAAATTTAGAGGGACCTGATTAAAAACTGAATGAAATTATAAGGAGTGGCAGATTACTTTCCCCTTTCTTTTTTAATAAATCTTTGAAGCTTCCTCTGTTATAAGTGTTAATGCCTATCGTTAAATTCAGAGTTAATGAGGGCTGACTAGACTGTGATTCAGCATACACTAAATTTGCCACGTAGACTAAAAGATTCAAAACGTTTTGAATGCACCGAATAGCAACCTCGTGAAATGGGGGAGAAGAACGAAAGCATTGTCGAGAAGCAAAAGGAAGCAGGCTTCTACTTTAAACACAAGAAGCAAATCCTCCTACCACTATTAGAAAAAAGACTTTTAACGTCGCAAACTAACGGCGGTTCAGCAGAAAAACGAAATGGAAAAAAATGCGGTGGCATTTTTGTAAATAAGTTGAAGAGGGTATGACTTTCCACGGCGGTTTTTAAGAAAACCGCCGTGGAAAGTGTGTCTTCAAACCCCCGCGGCCGCTCGACTCTCTTCACTTTCTTTCTCATTTCTTCAGTGCGTCGTGGTCCCCCTCTGCCCCACCACCGTAAAACTGCCATTACCGGCCATTCCCGCCACTATCCCACCGTTTAAACTCCTCCATTGAGCTCTTGGAGCCTTGCCGTCGTGCACCGCAGTCCGCCATGGTCGACCGCCTCCCATTTCCGTCCGTTCTTGCTCAGCCGTGGTCCACCACCGAAAACCGGTCCTACCCCCCACTATCTAACCGAAAACCGGTGCGTTGCCGCCGTCCGCCGCCGCCTCACTTCGCGTTTGAAGCTTCTATGCTCTGTGAGTATCCTCTTCTTTCATTCTTTTCAATTTTTCTTAGTTTGTTGAATGTTTTAGCCATGAAAATCTGTTATATATGAAATGGGGTTGTTAGTTTTACATTGTGGTTGGCTTGTATTGTTCATTTTGCATTTTTTATGTGGTTGAACCGTTGATTGGTGTTAATTGGTAGGCATTAGATGTGAGAAAACCTTAATTCCTTTTTATATACTGTATTAGAAATATGTTTAAATGTTTGGAGTTGATTAGTTGTGAAGTTTTTAAATTTTTTTATAATTTTTTGATATTTATTTCGAATTTTTGATAATTTTTTTGTAATAAATATAAGAATTTAGTGATAAATAATCTGTTAGTTATTTTGTGTTTTTTTCCTTCGTTATGAATTTTGATTGATAGTAAAGTATTGTTTAAATAATCTGTAGAACAATGGATCGTAGTTGGATGAAAGCTAAGAGAATTAGCAAGGAATATGAGGATGGGGTTGAAAAGTTTCTTGAATTTGCTCAGAGAAATGCCCCTAGTAAAGGAGATGGATTGTACTATTGTCCTTGTGTCAAATGTTTAAACAATAGTCGACGGAATATTTCTGAGATAAAAGAGCATCTTATCTGTGATGGGATAAATTTGAGGTATACAAATTGAATATGGCATGGAGAAATTAGAAAGACTACACTGTCTGCAAATGAGAAGGTTGTGAATGAAGACTTTGGTGATAGAATTTCGGATATGTTTCGTGATATAAGGTCTGAATCCTCTACACAGTTTTCTTCCACCTTTGAAACTTTGTGTAGTGATGCAGAGACACCTTTATACCCGGGGTGCAAAGATGATTACACAAGATTGACAACCGTATTGAAACTGATGAATTTGAAGGCAAGAAATGGTTGGACCGATGCTAGTTTTACGGAATTGCTTGAATTGCTGAGTGATATTCTTC